TGAGAAAACTTTCCCCATATAAGATATAACTTAATATCTGTTTAATTTTTATCTTCAATAATGTGTATATTGAACCCTCTGAATGGAAGCCATCCTTTTTAATTTAACATTACTATGACAATACTTGACTTAAATTTTAAAATAAAAGATAGCATTTTTTTTCTTGGTAAATAAACTACAACTTTGTCAGAAATTATTGCCTAAATGTGTATTAATGTATTAGCAGTATTTTTTAAGGTGAAGTTGCTATGGTATTTAATGTATGTATAGGAAGTGAGAAAAAAGAAAATGGCAGATTAGTTAGGGATAGAATTTAGGATTAGGTTTGTTTAAAAAAGTCACATTGTAATATATGGGTTCTAGCATATCCCACCATAAAAACTGTAGAGATCAGATAGGCGTAAACCTGGTCAGCTAGTGAGGATGGACATTTTGGTCTAATATCGACAATGTAAATCCCATTTTATGACAGGGTCTACATGTGGCATATGGATTGGTGGGGAGAATGTAAAGTTTGTATTGTTTATAATTCATAAACCATTGTATGATGTTCAAAGATCAGGTCGCATTATTGATAATATTAAATAGTTTCCCTGACCATTGATGGGTCAAAACATTTTACTGGATTATGGAATGTTAACCCAGAATTTGTTTTGATTCTTGGATGTACTTAATGATGCCAACTAACTTTATTTACTTTCTTGTTTACATGCAGGGGCTTTTGTTTTGAAAAATTATTTTGTTAAAAAAAATTCCAATAAAGATTTATTGCTATTATGCTTTTTTCCCTTATCTTTTACTCTATTATTGGCTTCTGCTAAATTAACATTTTTATGCATATCTGGTAATTCTTCAAAAGAATGATTTTTATTATTTTCCTAGAAAGAAAATTAGGTAACTGTCTTCCTTACATTTTAACAAATGTCATTTCTGTGAATTAGCAGCTGCTACAGGACTGATGTTTATGAATGGAGTAAGCCTAAGAATTGGTGGTTTCGCATGAAATTGATCTGATGACTCCTTTTCTAGAACTTGCAGGGGATAAACATTTTTAAATATTATTTTTAAACAGGTAAGTCTTAGTGATTTCCTTTATTTTCAGTCAAACATGGATACTATAGAAGTCTTTGGGACCCAAAGGAGAGAGGGGAGCCATTCTGATTTGGCTATATTTATAAAATGCTCCTGTGGCCCATTTTCACAGTCATAAATTTTATACTGTTACACTATCCTTTATTAAAAATAAAACTTGTTTTCAGTCCTTAAATTAGAAAACAAGGATTATTATACATTGAATTCAGTGAAAATATAGTTGACCCTTCAACAATGTGGGTGTTACTAGTTAGGGGCACTGACCCCATGCAGTCACAAATCCACACATAACTTTTGACTTCCCAAAAACTTAATTACTCATAGCCTACTGTTGACCAGAAAACTTACCAATAACATGTCAGTTAACACATATTTTGTATGTTACCTGTATTGTATTTTGTACACTAAAGTAAGATAGAGAAAGGAAAATGTTAAGAAAATCATAAAAGTAAATACATATATGGTACTGTCTATATTTATTGAAAAAAAAAAACTGCATATAAGTGGACCTGCAAAGTTTAAACCAATGTTGTTCAATGGTTAACTGCACTGACTTTTTTTTTTGGCTTTGCTTTCCCTAACTTCTCTTTTTTGGCAAAAGGATTACTTTAACAACTGTTGTCAAACAAGAGGTTGCCAATAGAGAGTAAAAGAGCATAGCAATACCTCTGTTATCAAGAAGGATGCAGCCCAATGTCACATTCTATTACTGGATATAAAAGTCATGGGTGGGGGGCACCTGGGTGGCTCAGTGGGTTAAGCCACTGCCTTCGGCTCAGGTCATGATCTCAGGGTCTTGGGATTGAGCCCCGCATCAGGCTCTTTACTCAGCAGGGAGCCTGCTTCTCTCTCTCTCTCTCTCTCTGCCTGCCTCTCTGCCTAATTGTGATCTTTCTCTGTCAAATAAATAAATAAAATCTTAAAAAAAAAAAGTCATGGGTGGTGGAGATTTCAGGGTATCAGAGAAGTGGAATGTGGTATGAAAATGTCAGTACTGATGATAATAATAGCCTTAGAAAACATAAAATGACCATCTGTCAGATGATTGTGTTGTGTAGACTACATTCTGTGCTCTGAGAGGAGTACCTGGCAATGGCAGGCCCAGTGGAAAGGGGCTTTCCACTGGGGCTCAAGATTGTGACCCTTTAAGACCAGATACAATCTGGTAGCCTTGGGCTTTATTTTATTCAACCTGCACAGTGATGCATATTTTATTACTTGCATTTGAGTGCCTTTAGGAGAGAACTGTACTCTCCCCTTAGCCCCGAGTACATCCCTTACTAGCTCAGTAGCCACAGTTTTAGCCTGATCCCTGTGGGCCTAATTTAAATATGTGCTCCTATTTTAGATACTCCCTTGTTAAAACACAGTGTATGTCTAGAGACCAATGATGGCTTCCTCCTTTGATGCCATTATTTAGGTTTTTGGAGCAGCAGAAAAATGGATCAGCTTTTCAATTTCCTCTCTGTAGAAATTGAGTCCTGTCAAGGGACTTAAGACCGTTCTTCCATACTTATTTCCTTTAAAAAGTCAATTGGATTGGATTTACCTTAGGAGAAGCCTGGGGATTGTAAAGTTTGATTTAAGGCACTCTAACACCCTGCCCGCCCCCACACACTCCCCAGAACTTGAATGCAGGTGCACACAGACACACTGCTCCCATCCCTGATGGATGAAAATGGATCTAGTAAAAAAATCGTTACTAAAATCTTTACTAGAAAAAAATCTTTACTAAAAAAATCTTTACTAGATCCTGATGGATCTAGTAAATGAAAACATTTTTTTTACTAGATCAATCTTCCCACCATTAGAGATGGAAAGGTAAATTTATGAATGTCAACCACCTCTACCAGATAAAACTGAATGTATGAATTGTATAACTGACAAATCTGTTCTAATGGACTGTACTAAATTCCTGAAGATTTAACCACTGAAGAGTTCACAACAACATAGAATGGCAAGACTATGGCTAAAGTCAGCTTTGCCATTTATTCTCAAATAATATTCCCAAGTTTGCCTCGGAAATTACATTTGCTATTTGTTTAATTGCAGGTTAGCACTCTAAATAACTTACCTATTTTTTATAAAAAGATCAATATCTATTAAAATATCTCATTAATACAAATACATGAACAATAAATACCAGTACACTTTAACTTGTGAATAAAGATTTGCTATTTCAATATTAAGTATTGATTCAAAATAATTCCTTTAAAGGAGAAAAATTACTTCCTAATGTTTGTTGTATCTAAACTGGAATGACCTTATGGGTGAATGTCTGATAAGATTATGATCATATATATATGTGATGATGATAACAGCATACATACATGCTTATTTTTGATTAAAGATTAAACGTTCCCAGCAGATTCATAAAGAGCAAAAAGTCACTACTCTGATTTATTTTGCATTACATTTTGTTTCTACATGCATATTTGCATTTTTTTGTATGTATATAGGATGTATATATGTTTGTATATACATCCTATCCCTGCCATTTGCAAACTAAAGAATCCCTTTGCAATCAGTGTGTGTGGTAAGCTGGTGAAGTATACAGAGAAGGAACTGACATATCTACATGACTGAATAATTTGGAATTTACTCTTGAATAATAAGTTTTTGTATATATATATTTTGTTCAGCATTTCCTGGGTGCTAGATATATACTTAAGCATAGATGATTAAGCCACTGAAAAAGATCTCTTTTTGTTAATAACACATCAGAATTTCTCGTCTTCCAATTCGTGGTGATTATGTGTGCATGAACACATAAGATCTATAGAGGTTATGACCTGTACAATGCTTGGTCTTAAATTAATATAAAAACCATGATACTGGACAGTATAACTTATTCAGTAAGCATTCTAAATCAGTAATAAAAGTTGGTCTAATTATTTCCATTTGTGTTATATAAAATAAGTTAAACATTGCCAGCAGATTATTTTAAATGCAAAAAAGGCCACTTAGATATTACCTTATAGTTTGCTTCTACTTGCAAGTTTCAAAGAAGTGCATTCTTATAAATTAAATAAATATGTTCCTTGGATTTAATTCCCCAAATTTAAATACTTAATATGTCAAGGTTTTTCATCAATAATAAATCATACTCTAACCAATTAAACCAAAATGATAGTCTTTTTTGATATGATTGCAGATGATTTTCTGGGTTGTGAGATTTAAATTATGTTATTAAGTTAGGCACCCTTCAAGTTCATAGCGCTTGTTAACAGCACACTCCTTTGTTGATTTAACAAAGATAGCATGCCCACTAGGCGCAAACACTTTCCCGGGGAATGGAGGAACAAAGACAAACCAGGTATCATTCTTGCGCTGTTGTAGCTTACAGAAGAGCTGTTTGGGGTTCAAGAATCCATAAAAGATATTTTCTATAAATAAACATCAAAAAAGCTAAATCTCTGGAAAGAATAAAAAGATAAAAAGTGTCGCTTCTGAGTAAGATTTATTTCTAAATGCACTAATAAAATTCAAAGGCACCTCTGGCTCTTAAGTGCAAACTATTCAGTTCAAACTATTAGAGTTGATGGTAAGCAGGACATTGGTTAATCAGTTTTCTAATTTATCTTCCGTTGTGATATTCTTTACTTGGCATTGTGACTGAAATGTTAAAAAGCTAATAAACAGCCTTTGGAAAAGGAATCAGACTAGAAGACCACATGCACACTGTGTGTGTGCGTGTGCATGTGTGTGTGTCTGTAGATAGAGCCAGAGGGAGAGAGAGAAAGAATGTGAGAGGATTACTGTTTTATTCCTGTTGGTATCTTTAGTTGAAACATGCACAGTTTGGCTTCAGAGAATAATTCCTTTAAAGAAAATAATTCATCAATATTTAAGTTGTATTCTCTTAAAAAAGTAGAAAAGCTTCTGTAAAAGTTACTGGTATAAAATGATTTTTGAAGCCAACCAAATAACTAATTCTATTTTCGTTGGAGAAGAGAGAGGAATGAAAAACAAAAAATTGGCTGTCACACAATAATAAATTTTATCTGCATTCAAGATGTTCCTTAGAAATCGTAAATAAACTCTGATTAAGACTTGTTTTCACCCGTTTTTCTCTCTGCCTTCGATTGCAAAACCAAACTCTTACTACTTCTTTCTCAAGATTCAGTTCTTCAGCCATTCGCATGATCTCTTGAGAGGAAGGTTTATTCTGTTCTCCGAAGTGCCTCTCCAGAGCATCTTTAGCAGCAATACTGAGGGGAGGGGCGTAGAGAAAGAAGGGTGAGATGATAGTGTTTTTATGATGTTTTGGCAGATCAAAATTAAGTAATGTTGAATATACTAAATATCAACATTAATACCGTTTAAAGACTTTGAAAATCCTTCCAAAGCGTCAACAAAGCTAAATATGCAGTCTGTAGAATATGTAGATGCTTGTCTTAAGCAGGGTATGCTGAGCCAAGTAACAAGAGGAAAGTAGTAAGGTGTTCTGGGCTTTCTGTATTTATCCCACTTTGTGCCACTAGAGGGCACTGATTTCCTAAAAAGGAAATGAGCACTGGTGCAGGCGTTTCTAAATGTCTCTCAGAAATCATTTGTTATTTACAATAGACGAAGTGTTTAGTGAACTCATCGACCAAAACAAAACCTGTATTTTAGAATTTCCTCTGTAATTTTCACACAAATTATCAAAAGATCAACAATCTTTCTGGTATGAAATGCAAGGTATCATGTTGGACTTTAAAAGACTGAAACACTGATGACTAGTTTTGCTGTTTTTAACAACATAGATACCAAGTTGCCAGAGCAAGATGTATCGAAAAGGACTGCAGAAATGATCACTCTTTGTAGAAGTGATTGTTCAGTTTGTACTTTATCTAAGATTTGTAGAGCAAGTGTTCTTGAATCAAATAACCTACTGTTCTATCAAATGTTAAGAATTACTAGCTCTCTCTTTCTCACTACTAAATTACTAAATTATGTTTTTCACCAATCTTGCTTTTTTCAGTTGACTCTACTCACCATACATTTAAGTTTCGTTACCTAGATTATCCTCACTCTTCTGTTTATATTATATATTCCATCTCCTCTGAATGTTTTAATATCTCAATACCTTATTGTTGTTCTTCGCTTCCTTTTTCTTTCATTTGCTCCCACTTTTTCATTGTACAAAGCTGTAATGTGGGGAAAAGAGAAATGATTACAAAAACAAAGCAGGTTCAAAAAAAATCAGATTTGAGTTTCAAATTTTCTTTGTAAAGAGATGCAAAATAAAGTCACTATACATTTTTCTTAGATTTTTACACTCTCCATTATTTTATAGTACAAGACCAAGATACAAATGTTAATGCAGAAATATTAACTTTGCATAGACAACTGTCTATTAGTGATATCCTGACCATACTTTTCTTGGAACACTTGCTTTAAATGCTTTCAAGCCTTGCTTTTTATCCAGCCTTCTCATTAGTTGAGTAGATAATTTTATTACATGAGCAATTGCTTCTGTACTTACTTGGAAGACTGGTGTGCTCAAATGCTCTGGTTACAGTAATATCGGGTTATAAAAATTCATGTATGATCACTACAGTACGAACAGAGCCAGAAAATCTGGATGTGTTAAAAAAAAATCATTTCACCACTTCACGCCTCTGCCACATTATCCAGAAAGCGTCCTTATGCAGCTTCTTTTCTCACTATATTTACCTTCTCAAGAAACTTATTTCTGTACATGCATGAGCTTCCCTCTTTTCGGGAATATGAAACATTTATTTCTCATTTGAAAGAGAAAAAAGCCAACTAAACTGCAAACCTCTCTGCTTTAGCTGAAATCCTAGCAAGGAAGCCATCGTTTTTAGGTTAAGACATCACAGAGCCTATAACTTAAGTACCTCCTACTTGCTCAGCTTCCTCAAGCCATTTAGATAATATTGCTTTTAGCTTGCATGCATTTTTAAAGCTGAGCTGCAGGTTTTCGAATCGGCAGATAGTTGTTTGACTGAATTCAGAGCCGTGCACAGCTGCCAGGGCTTCCCCGACGTTGGTTTGGGTGTAGCCTGTGAAAGGGCAGGAGAGATCTGTTAGCTTCAGCTCTTCTAGAAGTATTCATTTTGGCCGGTTATCACAGAAATTGTGTCCTTCTTCATCAACTATTACATATTGCTTTAAAGCATATATTCATTGGCAATTTAGAATTGCTTAGTAAGTGCAGTGCAGAATTGCTCAGTACTCTAAAAAAGACTTCTAGTTATTTTTTTCTAGAAGTCAAAATTATTCAGACAGGAGCCCCTGCCATTCACAATATTTAGTGAAACTGGATAGATATGTCATAAATATGTTATATATAAGATACTTATAAATTCTTTCTCTCTACTATTATTAAATATCTGATACATGCTCAACAATATAGTATATTAAATATAATGCATAAGTTATAATGATATAAATATTTTTATCTCAACTGTAAGAGTATAAAATTCAACTATATTGTTAAAGGGTACCAAATAAAAATAAGAATTATGCTGACTTTCCCTGAAAACGTGTTTATTATGATAGTGGGGTCACCCAATAATTTACATGTATTTCTGAGCACATTCATTTTATCGTTTGGTAATGCTTCGATCTTCAGACCGAAGCTCTGTTCAGATTGTCCCAAAATATTTTTAGAGTACAGGTTAGTATCAACCATCAACACAGAATTTGAAATACAGCCATATGAATAGCAAACTGAAAATGGCTGTTACAAAGATGCCCACTGCTGTGTTTATTCCATATAGTAACTGCATATTAATTCAGGGCCTAAAGCTATATACCTGTATGCATAAAACAGCTACGTACAATGCCTGTCAATAAATATCATTACAAAATTACAAAATCATGCCACAAGTGCAGACGGTGGAACTATCATTTTCAATCCATTTAAAAGATACACTACTTCATGAATTCAAGTCAAGGTTAATTATTATAGTTATTTTATGTTAAAAACACTATTGAATAGAAAGTGTGAGAACAGACAGTTCGCAGAGAATTACAAATGACTGTAAAACACATGAAATAACACTTTTCAAGCTTCACTCATAAATTTAAAATGAAACCACAAGAGCATGTGGGTGGCTCAGTCAGGTAAGCACTGGACTCTTGATTTCAGCTCAGGTCATGATCTCAGGGTCACAAGAATGGAGCCCCATGTGGGGTTCTGCACTGGATGTGGAGCCTGCTTAAGAGTCTCTGTCTCCCTTTCCCTCTCTCCTACCACTTGGACACGCTCTCTCTTCCCTTCTCAAGAAAAAAAACAAAAACAAAAAACCCAAAAACCTACTGCAGGAACCACTTTGACCTATCTGATTTGCAAAGATCCAAAAGATTAGACCATAGTTTTCCTTCAATAATTTATTCTATGTGCTGCCAGTCACTGTTCTAAGTGCTGTGGATATGCTTTTAAGGAAAAATAAAAATGGATAAAGAAAAAACTACTGCTTTCATAAAGATTGTATTCTAAGGAGTTTGCCAAGAGACACTCATGGTGGTGGTAAAATTTGGCATAACCTCTATATAGACCAATTTGATAACATCTATCAGAATTACAAAGATACGTGCACTTTAAGAAATCGTGTATATTGGTGCACCTGGGTGGCTCAGTGGGTTAAAGCCTCTGCCTTCGGCTCAGGTCATGATCCCAGGGTCCTGGGATCAAGACCCGCATGGGGCTCTCTGCTCAGCAGGGAGCCTGCTTCCTCCTCTCTCTCTGCCTGCCTCCCTGCCTACTTGTAATCTCTGTCTGTCAAATAAATAAATAAAATCTTAAAAAAAAATGTGTGTATTTATACAGGTACAAAATGCCATCAATGGAGTGAATCATTGTAGGGTGGTTTTTAACAATGTAAGATTGGAGACAACCTAAATTTATCATCAGTAGGGGACTGGTTAAATAATATATTCATGAAATGGAATTTGATAGACCTATTTAAAAAATCTCTCTAAAAATTAATAAGGAAAGCTCTATCAGATAAATGGTTAAATAAAAAAAAAACTGAAGATATATAAGTATTTGCTTATATGTGCAAACGGGATCTGTGGAAGGATGCAAAGAAACCAACAACATTGATAAACAGGAAAGACAAACATAAAAAATACATTTCACTTATACCCTTTATGCCTTTGAATCATATGAATGGCTCATCTATTCAAAAAAGTTCAAACAAAATAGGGAGAAAAACAAGCACTTCAAAGTTAATCTTGAGGTAGGTAAATTGAAAAAAATACCAATTTAAAAATTATGTATTTAGGATATATAGAATTAACAAGGAAATAAAGGGATTTTTTTTGTAGGATTTTCATAATTGGACTAACTTAAATCCACAGCACAGATGTAGAATGAGAAGTATCGTGGACTTCTGAGCAGAGAATAAGAGACTGACCAGTACTATCAAGGATTTGCAGACCAAGTTGTACACCTATTACCCTTAAGAAGTGCATACCTAACTTAATTCTTCTCACTTTAAATTCACTGGCAAACTTCTCAAGTTCTCGGATTTCTGGAGAATCCATGTCTATTGGCTCTTCAACCAATTTACTTTTCCTCCTGAGTTCCTGCTTGAAATCAGTGACTGTGGGGTCCTCTGCCAGGAGAGGCTGGTGCATGGGAGGAAAGCCATGACTCAAGGTATGGTCAGGAAACTTATAAAGACAAGGTGTTAAGCTACCTGTGAATAAACAAAGAAAGAGAAAGAAAAGGGCCATTTGTAATTATCCGCCATTTCTAGACAAGCAAAAGTTTTGCACCTTAGAACCCATTATTCCCTTGCAGCCATCACGATTCTACAAGGTTAACTGACATTCAGCGGTCTGAAATGGAAGTCAGAGTAGCTTAGTATAAATGTGGTTATTTTTTTTCCACCTTCCTCAGAGCAGTGAAAACAAAAATAATGCCAAAGAGCAAATTCTCTCAGAAGTATGTTTTCCATTATTTTGTTTTCTCTTAAAAGATACCTGTTCCTGTCAATCTGAGGTTCAACTGAAACCTGGATGTATGTTTTGACCTCTGTTTTAATTCATTACACAATCTGTGATGTTTATTATAATCAAGGCATATGGTTAAGCGCTATGCTGGGAAGTTTTCTTAGGATTCGAAAATGGACTTTACAATATTAAGAAACTCCATGGTTTTATCAGCCAGTGCTTAATTTCAAGGGGAAATAATCATGTCTTTTTAAAATTGAATGAAGGCAGGTAAAAAGAAAAGTATGAGAACATAAAGTACACTAATATGCTTAAATAGATTCAAGGAGTGAATAGATAAAAGTAATTTCTAAAGTTCTATTAAAAAGTCAGCATCAAGATTTCTTTAAAAGTATACAATATAGGGACGCCTGGGTAGCTCAGTTGGTTAAGTGGCTGCCTTCGGCTCAGGTCATGATCCCAGCGTCCTGGGATTGAGTCCCACCTTGGGCTCCTTGCTCGGAGGGAAGCCTGCTTCTCCCTCTGCCTCTGTCTACCTGTGCTCGCTCGCTCTCCCTCTGTCTCTGACAAATAAATAAAATCTTTAAAAAAAAAAAGTATACAATATAATGGAATCATTTCTTGGTTATTATTTAAGAAACAAAAGTAAGTGGCAGAAGTGTGTAATTCTAGATATGATGGGCATTTACCCATAAATGAAACATTAGATCAGTTGAGTTAAATGATAAATGACCAAAAAAGATCTAATTCTTAAAAAAATTGCTTCCAGGTTTCATTCTTTACTAGAAAAGAAGAGTTTCTCAATTGGGGACATTGGCTAGAGGATAGCATAAGCCAAATTTCCATACATTTTATTTCTGTTTTCCTCATCAATATATCACGTTTTTATTGGTAGAGATTTCACTTTGATTTATATTAAATGACACTTGTATAACCAACACATTTTAATATAAATAGAATATTTGGTAATTATTCATTTTTCTTATGATTATAAATAAATATTTAAACTAAAAATAAATTGCTATAGGATATAGGCAATAATCATTCTTGAAAACACTGCAAAAATTTATCAAGTTTATGCTACCTATTAATTCTCTATAAATACATTCACGAATCAAAGACATGAGTAATAATGTAGTTTTCCAGAATATATAAATCTTACATTAATATATCAATATGTAATGACCAAAGAATAGTGTAAGTCAGCAAATTGTTGGCTTGTATTATTTATATGACAATATGTAATTATAAGGTATACCCCTTTCCAATAGACTATATTTTTTCTGGAAGAAAAGTAAATATACAAGTGAGGGGCTAAACAAAATAGCACAAAATAAATTCAGCTGCTGTGAAAAATATGTGAGAGAAATCATTTCTGTCTAAAAAAAAAAATCCATGCTACTTTTTACAAACCAATATTATTGTTTTACTTTTTAAAAGTCAGTTAATTGTCCATTTTATGCTTTAGTGGGTAGTATATTGATCAGACCATTTTTAAGAGAAGTTTTTGAATTTTTAATTCACTACATAGTTTAACATTTGAAAATGGTTATTATTAATTTGGGGGTTATTTTCAGCTTTCTATTCATTTTGGATTTCTGCTAGTTGAAGTAAAAGACTACAACTACATTAAAAGAATACTGATCACATTTATTTTAGCGTTTATTTGATATTTATCTCAAGATTTTGTTTTCACTTAGGCTTTCAGACTTGGATGTTAGATATATGAAAAATCTTTGCTTCTTTCATGATTCAAAAATACCACATGCCACTAAGACACTTAACGATGAACTACTCTGAGAAAGAGTAAAAGCAGTGAGCAAAAATGAGGCTGTTGGGTTTTTTCTCTTTCTTACTATATATTTTTTTTTATTTGAAGTACAGTTGCCACACAATGTTACATTAGTTTCGGATGTATGCCATAGTGATTGAACAACCCTCTATGTTATGCTCTGCCTGCTGTAAGTATGGCTACCATCCATCTCCAGATGATGCCATTAGAGTATCATGGACTGTGGTCCCTGGGCTGTACCTTTCCAACCTGTGACTTATTCAGTCCATGACTGGAAGCCTGTATCTCCCACTCCCCTTCACCCATTTTGTCTGTTTCTCCACCCACTTTCCTCTGGCCCCCATCAGTTTGTTCTTTGTATTTATGGGTCTGTTTCTACCTTGTTTGTTCATTTGTTTTCCTTTTTAGATCCCACATATAAATGAACTCATATGGTATTTGCCTTTCTCTGACTTATTTCACTTAGCATAATACCCTCTAGGTCCATCCATGTTATCACAAATGGCCATCAAGAGAGGGGGAGTAAGGGCAAAGGGGGAGAGAGGAAGAGAATCTGAAGCAGGCTGCATACCCAGAACGGCATCCGACCTGGGGCTCGATCTCCCAACCCCGAGTTCATGACCTGAGCTGAAATCAAGAGTTGGATGCTTAACCAACTGAGCCACCCAGGTGCTCCCTCTCATTCTTTTATTTAAGGCTGAGTAATATCTCTCTCTATATATGTGCACACTACTGTTTGATTTTTGCACGTTTAATGTATTTTAAGGTACTGTACTTTAGATAACTCATTTGACCTATGTCAAATTGTTTTTATTGTCCGTAAGTAGTTTGTTACATATCTTTTATATGATAAGCCATAAGTTCTGAAGTTGTTAGCAATCTTGGTCACTATTTTCAATTTCTCTTGCTGACCATAGTCACACACCACGACGAATCTTCCTTGTGATACTTTGTGCTGTACTCATTTCACATTTGTCATCTTCTTAGCCTTATATAAAAGCTAGAAAGAATTTTTTTTTATTATTCACAACTTAAAATTTAGAAAATTTAGGTAAAAGGCAATAACCTCCCTCGGGTGCCACAATGAGTCAACGATATAGTTGAAACCAGAACTGAAGTCCAATGATCACTTCAATAAACCACATCAAAACAAAAACCTCATTCATTTTTCTGGCAGTCTGTCCTCAGGTAAACCAGATGACTTTCTTTTAAAGACATCTGCAGTTTAAACACATTTGGCTACATTAAACAGATGATTTCAGACAAAAATAATTAGATTTTAATAATTAGTGAAGATAGTCACCTCTATTTCTGAAAAATTATAAATGTAGTTTATACATTGTAAACACTCTGGGGAAAAAAAATCAACATTTAAAAAATAAATTTGTACACAAGTCCATGAGAAGACCACAGAAGATGCCATGTTCAGAGGTCTGGTGTCCGGAGCAAAAAGGAAAACACGATGTGTGATACGTTTGTATTTTTCATTCAGTGAATATATCCATTGTTACCCACACAGACATGGTTTTCCTGGAGCTAACCAGCCTTGAACAGAAATTCATGATGGTCACAGGCACAGCCAAACAAATGGCAGTGTCTATCCCGTGATCCTGTATTTGGGGGAGAGTGGAGAGTGACTATGGTATTGTAACTATGGCAAAATATTTTTAAAACCTTTCTAAGACATGGATTATTAAAAAAGAAAAAAAAATAAGAAGATAAAAGCAGCAGGGAGTGTCAGTAGAGGTCTCGTAAACCATTTCCAAAACATTGATAAAGCAAAATTATCTGTAAGCCCCAGAGAAGCACGCAGTGAAAGAGCCTGGAAGTGTTTGCACATTATTTATAGCCCAAAGTATATGTTCACATTGTGGATTAATCCACCAAAGCCGTTCTCAATGGCTGTGTATATACTTCTGTGTGGCAGAAGTGGGAGAAGAGGTCAATCTTTTCAAGCAGGCCATGGGGAGGCAGAGGTGGCTGGCTCAACACTGGGGCCCCGCCCCATGTAACTGCCAACATCTCTGAGATTATGGGCCTGAAGCCTTAGAAGAACAGGCAGGGAAAGCAGAGGGATACAATAAGACACACCATCTTGCTAGAGACGTGCAAAGGAAGGTGTATTGGATATTTCCGTTTATTTCTTTTTCATCACACAAGACCATGCAAAACAAACCCTAAATGCGACTTGTGATCTCTTCTCTTTTGTGCACTGGTAAATCCTATCCATATACAACAGGGATCCTCTGCCTGGTGTTGTAATTTATTTGGAACACAGGCATGCAGAGTTGTTTACACATTGCCTATGGCTGCTGAACCGAGTAGTTGAGAGACTAAGAAAACTTAGGGAAAATACCTCATGTTACTGCTACTGAACAGCCTTTTCTGATTCAGAGGTTAAAAAAACCCTTCAGAATCACTTCTTCCCTCAGAGTCAATACAACCAGAACAAGTTAGGGAGAAACAAAATGGGAGGGAGAGGAGGGGGAAGAAAGAAGAAAAAGGATGAGGAAGGAGAGAGGAGGAATGGGGAGGAGCAAGAGGAGAAGGAGAAGAAAGAAAATAATTTAAGAATAAGAGATGGGCTCTAAAGTTGACTATTTTTCCATGTCAGCCATCAAACTGATTTCTGTTGCTTTGTGCCTAAGAGCTATGGAGAGGGCACTTTCAGTCATAATTATCTTTTCTCTTATTATCCACTTCCCATTAAAAAATAAAACAACAGCAAAAAAGGACATTCATCTTCGTGGTTAATTCCGAAACCTCTGCTATTTTGCTTTTCTCTTAAGATGAGCTTTGAAACGAGGACTCTCACAATTCACCTTGGTTTGGCCATTACATAATCTGACCCAGCCGGGTTTAAAGGTCATCCCTGTGTGGCTGATGGGCCGCCTCCACAGGAGGGCGGGCAGGGTGGGCAGCCCGCGGAGCAGGTTTCCCAACTTCACCCAGCTTCGGAAACCAGAGAACAGAATCAATTTCAGATACCCAAGAATTAGAGTTTCCAGAGGGCTTTTGTTGTTGTTGTTGTTGTTGTTGTTATTTTAATGCGTGTTTATCCAGAAGAGCTTTTGAAGAGCATTTTTAATTCACTCTAGGCTGTTGAAGGGCCTAAATTCTCAGGAATGAAGGCATAGAAGACATTCAGTTGGAAGTGTATAGAAAGAGAAGATCATAGGAAGAACCAGGTAGAGCTGGTACATATCTGCCACAATCCAGCTTCAGCGGAGTGGTGGCTCTCACCACAACTCAGCCAGGAAGAGGCTGAAACTATTTGCAAGGAGGAGGATGGAACTAGAGGGTATTATGCTAAGCGAAATCAATCAATCGGAGAAAGATAATTATCATATGATCTCACTGATATGTGAAATTTAAGAAACAAGACAGAGGAGCATATGGGAAAAGAGGAAAAAATGAAACAAGATGAAACCAGAGAGGGAGACAAACCATCAGAGACTTAATCTCAGGAAACAAACTGAGGGTTGCTGGAGGGGAGGGGCGGGAAGTGTTGGGGGGATGGACACTGAGGAGGGTGTATGCTCTGGAGATGGACACTGGGGAGGGTGTATGCTCTGGAGAGCGCTGTGAATTGTGTAAGACTGAAGAATCACAGACCTGTACCCCCGAAGCAAAGAATACATTATACATTGTTAAAAAAGAACAGATATATTTAAAAATTAAAACAATGTGAAACACAAGGGTGTATGTCTAAAAAAAAAAGAAAGAGAGACAGAAACTCAGAGAGGTGAAGGGACTTGAACAAGGTTTCTAATTAGTTCATGATGCGACTAATTCATTTTTCCCAATTAGTCATTCTTTTCAGTGTGTCCACTCCTGGACTATAAGGCACAGTGGATTCATGTGGTAACTGCAAAGTCCTCTCTCTCAACCTTAACAAAAAATTAGTTATAGCTCTTATTCATTCAAGGAAATGCTCAAGCTTAATGGAAGCATCAGACTGTAGTTTCTAAGGTTGCCACATTAAAATAAAGCAATTTCATATGCTTTGAAATACAGGTCTTTCTGTACCTTTCCTTTCATATGGCATATGTGACAATGAACCTGTCCTTGTTGTAGATGATAAGATAATTCTGTGAATTGTGTGGCAGTGGCTGATTTGATGAATGCATTGAGACTTCTTGGAAAATTCTAATGACATTAACCAGGTTTCTCTTGTGTATTTTATACCTTTGCTCTCTTATATTTGGATTCCTGTGTTTTATAACTCAATTTGTGTAGCCTCTCTGGGGATAAAGACAGGAGAGTTCAGATTCTCTGAGGTTTAATCTGCTATGATGCAAATACTCACACCAAACATATGTCAAAATAGTGACATTCTAACCAATAATAAAGTGTATCACTCTCAAAAAATATTCAAATATCATCTCTATGCTTGCCATGGTGAATTTTTCTTCCAGGGACAATATATATTTGCTTTTAGAACTACGGTGATACATTCAAATCTTAGGATAACCATTTTTGCTCCTTATGATACTAACTACCCAGGCTTTGGGGCACTTTAAAGGGCTCTTCTGGGGGCCTCTCCTTTCCAGCTGCAGTGAGAAAGTGGGTTTGCTGAGTGCCTGCTGAGAGGACTTGGTAATATAGCCCCAGCTGCCCGTAGACTCTCATTGTGAACCCGGGCCCAGAAACAAGAAACATGTCAGAATTCTCAGGCCAGCTGCAAATTCACTAGGCTAATAGCCAGTGGCCTTCATCTGGTGGGGAGGGAGGTGGTAGCAAAAACCATGTTAAAGTATTTGGGGCGGTGCCCGAGTGGCTCAGTCAGTTAAGTGTCCCACTCTTGATTTTGGCTCAGTTCCTGACTCAGGATTGGGATGGAGCCCCACATGAGTCTCTGCACTGTGTACGGAGCCTGCTTAGGATTCTCTCTCCCTTTCCCTCTGCTCCTCTCTCACCAACATCCACTTCCTTTTCTCCCTCCCTCTCTTAAAAAAAAAAAAAGATATTTGGCCTGTGACTGATGTTACCTTTGTGCTAACCTCAATCCATGGCTGCCTGTCACTGGGTTTAGAAGGAGCCTAAATGTGTGACACTATTTGACATATTTTGAGCTGAGTTTGTGGGAATTACTGTGAATGAACAGCAAGGACTCCCCTCCAAGAGACAGCAGCACATGGCCACGTGCTCGTCATTCCTATCTTCATAATCAAAATGTAGTGTGGGCCACAAGAAGCATTTTGCCTGCCCCTCTAGTGGCTAAATGCACAATTTACTATTTTTATAATGAAAGTAGTTTATCATCAAAAAGGGCTACTTTAATTAACCATGAATACTGATGAGCTATTAAATATATGAATCATAAATGATCAGTTTTCAAAGGGGAAAATATGGTTGTCCCTATTTCATAATTATTAAAAAAAAAGAGACACTAGGATTTACAGGTCAGTCTTCATTTTACTATAAAAGTGAGAACACTAGTTTATTCAAGAATGCTGCATGGTAGGATGTAAGTGAAGCTAATTTATTCTGGAATATTTTATTTTAAATTTTTAGTGTTTTATTTAGTCTCAAACTGAAAAATATGGAGAAATTAAATGCCAGTGAACTAATTTTTTATTCAGTTTTATTTCAAATTTATAGTCATAGATCCATTTTTTTTCTATCACTTATTATGGATGACAACAAGACACAGCAGTGAGAAAAGATTTCCCTATTATATGATTCCTTTATCTAAAGCTTTTCTCTCTCTCTTTCACACACACACACACACACACACACACACACAACACACACACACACTTATTTTCTCACAGAGCCCCAGTAGTTTTTTGTCACTCATCAGGTTTCTCTCCCTGCTGTAGCAGTGAATATAAAACATCAAAGAATAGCTAAAAAAAAAAAAAATTAAGTGAACAAAATTGTGTACTTTATTAAACCATCAAAACCTTTTTTTTTCTGGCCATATCCTAAAATTGAGTTATAAAGTTTTGTTCTCAATGGATTAGGTCAAATTTTCCTCTTCTTTAAGAAACGTGTTATCACTGCCTTCATATAAGTATCAATAGATAATTAACCTTGATCTACTGATGCTTTATTTATCTAGAGGAGAAACAAAAGTAACTTTAACTCTTCAATCTCATTTAAGACTAACAACAACTCTGAGCTGCCAGAATTTCAAATGAATATCACTGAACCCACTGCAACTGACTCTTAGCTTTCAATGTCTTATTTATCTTTGGACCACACATCCAGAAGAAATATTGCACTGAAGACGTTTTATAAATCTGTGCTGTCTGCTTTAGTAGCCACAGATAGTTAGTGAGCCCTTCAGATGTGGCTGGTGCAACAGAGGAACTCAATTTTAAATTTGACTTTATTTGAGCTAATTTATGTTTAAATTTAAATAATTTAGGGGAAGGGAGGGAACACTGAAGGGGAAGAAATCAGAGAGGGAGGTAAACCATATGAGACTCTTGACTCTGGGAAACAAACTGAGGGTTGCTGGAGGGGGGTTGGAAGAATGGGGTAACTTGGTAATGGGCATATGGAAGGCACCTGATGTGATGAGCAATGGGTGTTATTCACAACTAATGAATCATTGAACATTATATCAAAAACTAATGATATACTATACGTTGGCTAATTGAATTTAAATAAAAAAATTTGAAATACCCACATGAGATTAGTCACTGCTGTATTATTACTGGATCGAACCCACTGATAACATTAAGTGACAGTCAGCCGTTTGGTAGTCATCAATTAGAGTAAAAATCATACAAAGCAAATAAAAGAGTTAAGCACAGAAGTTCAGGTCTATGGAGAACAGGGGCAATGAGATTTAATCATTATGATCACTGAATGCATCCCACTATCAGGGAACATTTCAATAAATAGTGGTTTACCAGCAATTTCCAAAGTTAAGAGATGAGAATTTCATGATACGCTCTGGTCAAGATTCCCTCAGACCCAAGAAATCCATCTAAGTGTCCCCAAACTCAATCTCTATAGGCAGATTATTTTTCTTACCTGCCATCACTCCATAGGTCGATGGCTGGTTTCCATAATGACAGGAAGGAACAGAATAATGAAGTCCCGTTGCTGTGTTTCCCAACGTTGTCACCGAGAAATATGTGCACAAACATTTAGGAGTTTGGATCAAAGACAAAATAGACGGGACTGGTAAGAAAATGTATGAGGATTCAAGATACATTCATTTCATTGCAAAAACACACATTTATGTGATTCTTAAAGTTATATGGCATAATTCGTTTTTCTCTTAATGGGAATTCTCTGATGAGTAGATTAAAAGCAGGAATCAAAGTTTGCCTCAAGTAATCAGATCATAAATCATCAGTGTGGATGATAGCATTCATTAATTATGCTGCACTCTGTGAAGGGGTGACTGACCAGTTTGGATGTTGGCCGGTTGGGAGTTGCAGAATTCTTGTAGGTTACATCTCATATAAACATTACAATCAACTGACTAGAGGAATAATCTCTTTAAATTCTTGTGTAATATGGTAATATGGAGTGGTCTTTCTCTGGAAGAATGAATAGAGAAATCAACTCTTGAATAATCTTTATTTCTGCTTATTCTCCTAACAATTTCTTCTATCCAAAAGAAAATGGCCAAGCAACTAGCTTCTAATTGGATACAATCATAAAAATCCCAGTAAATTCAGAGGTTTATGAAAAATCCGTGACAGTGCATGATGCATTTATGTTGATGCTGAAACCAAGAGGTGGTATGTTTTCTGTGTGTACACAATCAGTTCAACAATTACAATAATAAAAGCTGGTCAAAAAAAATTGATTGTTGAATGACTTGAGATCTATAAAGGTTGAACCCAGCATATAAACATAACCATTCATAGTTACTTGCCTTGTGGAATCAATGTATATTATGAAAGTAAATTTAAAATACTAAATTTTAATTGAGCTTTAAACATGAATCACCAGCTAAGAGTTTGGGTATTGACAATAAAACCATCGTTTATGTGTTCTATTTTCTCAGTTTTCCTTCATATCCTGAATATAATGGTGGGTTTTCATAAATATAATAGGATCATAAATCCTTGAATAGATATGAGATATTAGAAGTATAGAGTTAGAATCCTTTGACAATATTGAGATGCCATCCAGTGATTAAAGACTTGAGTTCACTTCAGAGAGCAGAACATTTTCTCTTAATATTGAAAATCTTCAATATTTTAAAATACTTGCACAAATTTTCATTTTACAATTAACATGTAGAAAGAAATGAAGTCACTTTATAGTATAATGATATTTTATATTATAATGATTACATGTAAATATCTTACTATAAAATCTAAAACAAATAAACAAGAAACCCATGTAATGTCCAAGTGTTCTTTCCACTATAAGCAATATTTCTAGTTTCTTACTAAGTAATTTATAATTTGATGGAAAAATTATAAAACTGATGCTATTATCGTGTATTTAAATACTATTATTTGTCTATTTACAATAGACATATCTATTATTTAAAATATATAAACAGTTATGTGATAATTGCTTAAATTTACTTATAGTACAAAATTTGGTTAAAATACTCTATTTTCTAAAAAAATATGTTTGGGGAAACTCCCATTATTTTCTTTTTATTTAAATTATGAGACTCTTTGGTAGATGAAAAACAAAACAAAAAACTGTCTACCTTAATGATTTCACCCAAATCCAGATATCCACTTTCTAGATTTTAAAAATTCAGCTGCAGATTAATCCCAAACTTACATATGAAAGAAATTTACTCAATCCAAGACTTTGTCAATTTATAAAGCTACTTCATTACCACATAAAGGACACATTAGCAACACATGCCTATTTGATTGCACTTGAGACAATATATTCAATTTTCAAGCTTACTTTTTACATTAGAAAATTACATAAGAAAAGATTAAAACTTGGTTAGAGAGACTGAAGACTCTTTGGAACTCAGTTTTAAGATATTTTAACTCAGTTTGTGGGCTCTAAATGCTACATATTGCTTCTAGCTTTGATTTTTGAGTTTTGAATGATGCTATAATGTTTGTTAAAATCACTTAATTGCAGTATTCTTTGAAATCCACTGTTGTTGGTATTGGGAATCATTCAGTTGTGTTTACTACAAGGTATATGGATGTTCTTGGACATAGTAAAACCAAACGAATCTCTAAGATAAATAAGTAACACCTTTTAAACACTAAATTATTTCAGCTATCCCTTTAGTTTTGTTCCTCACCCATAAATATTTACATAGAAACATTTTCTGGATTAAAAACACCCAGGCTTGCTGTTTACTTTTGTAAAAAATAGATCTTCTTTATAATAAAGCCAACAATTGAAATTACTACGCTTAATAATATTCTTTAAAAATTTCTAAGGTAGTTTGGCCTTTTTTAAATAGCCTTCATATTTAACGTAAAGGGAATTAAAATGAAGGAGAAAAAAAAAAGAAGCAAAGACATTCTAAACTAACAAGATGGAAAGCATCCGTCCGGCCGCACGTAGACTGGTAGGGGAGTCCATACCTGTGGACATCACGTTGGTGGCATGGTTGGAGACCGGGAGGCACTCGGTAGCGCTGTGATGCATGATCAGAGGCAGCGTTGCAGAAGCCTCCGAATTCAGAGGTATGAAGGTATCAGCCGAAGTAAAAGGTTGGCAACTCATTCCCACAAGACAGTAGAAAGCTGAGAACTGCTGCTCCCCAAGTCAGACTTTTATTCTATTACTGTTTCCAAGGGCCGTTTCAAATCTCACTCCCTGCATATATACATCAGGAAGGCCCTGAGCACCAGGAGGGCGCGTGCTTGGTACTTATACTGCAGGGAAATCCCTTTATACATGTTAATCGTCTTTTCCCAGGGGTATTGCTTTATCAATGTGAACCGTCTTCCTTCTCACCGGAACCTAACCCATGCCCAAGAGGGACCCTGGTTCTGGGGTATAGATGGAGGGAAAGGGAGAAATCTGAAACTTGAGTGGAGAACTTTCGTGATTGAGACCTTTTAGAAAGGATTCAAGAGCTTCAGAAGTTAAGTGTCCCTCCAAGAAATAATCCTAAAATGAATTGAAAAATACTAGGTGCCTCTGGGTTACTAACACAATAACAAATTTTTATACAGGAGATTCTTTTTGATAACTTCTCATTCAATCTGCAAAACAGCATAAAACAAATATTACACAATTTTTAAGAAACTCTATTTAAGAAACTGTATTTGAGTTTGTAATTGAAAGAAACTCTAAGTTTAAATTGAAAGATGCATAGAAAACTCAATCTGAGAATGAATATATTGCCAACTACTGATTCAGACTTAACATGCAATTGTGAAAAATCATGTAAACTAATTTGTTATATATTATAAGTAGAAAATAGAAAAATTTTGAATACAGTTGTAGTACTGTGTAGAGAAGACAAACATGACTGATAGTATCATTTTTCCTTGATTTCAATTTACTCATTAAGAATGAACATTTAGTTTAGGGCTTAGTGAGAAGCCCTTACTAGATGCTGACACTATCCTAGGCACTTTCTATAGTTCACATCGTGCAAATCTCACATCCGTGTGAATTATTTATCATACTGTCCTCACTATGCTTAACTCCTCCAGAACCCCTGATCTTAACCATTCTGCTCCAGAGCCTACAGTAACTATGGCAGCGCTGGGTGCAAACCTTCCACATCACGTGAGCATGGGGGGAAAAAAAAAAAAAAATATATATATATATATATGGATATACATACATATATATATACTACTAATAGTTCATTCAAAGATAAATATATTAGCATCAGAAAAAAACATATATATATATGGATATACATACATATATATATATACTACTAATAGTTCATTCAAAGATAAATATATTAGCATCAAGTACAATGACCATGATTTCTATAAATAAATGAGTGAAAGCAATACTATTTTTAGAATGTCTGCTGGGGATAATAAAACAGAAGCAAACTGAGAGGCATAGAGATTCCTGACTTTCTAAGCAAGGTCCATGCCCCATTAGCTTTTTTGAAATTTTGTATTATGGAATGTTTCCAGATAACTTGGATTGGCTGTTTTGTGCTAAACCTAATGTTTGTGTTGATAAGAATACTATCTCAAAAAACTTGCAACTTGAGCATTTTGTTAGTAACCAGTTGATATTTTTTGGAAGTTATAAGTTTACCCAAATCGTTAAATATTGCCTGAAAAATATTTATTGTGAAAGTGACATATTTTTTCATTCTGAATTCTGTATCTTTGAAGCTCTGTTTTCTCTAATTGAGAGAAGGAGTTACAGGTAACCAAAAGTATGTATTTCACACTTGCAGAATTTATATAATTTTCAGACCACATAAGCAAAGAAACAAAAGGTTTTACAGGTTTTTCAATGTATGTATGCAGAGAATTTCCTAAGAAAACTAAATAAAAATAAGTTTATTGGGCATTGAATGTAAAAAAAAATAAGCTAAATGATAGAGTCCTTGGAATATGTTGATAAAGCATATCAACCCAGTGGCAGGTAATGAGGGGCATTGTAAAACCTCCCTGGACAAAGCAAAAAGCTTTCCCAGCAGTTTGTCATACTACATAGAATTTTACAGTTGAATCTTAGACATCATTTAATAACAGTTTTAAAATTTTTAACTCTTTGGGCAGTGAAATGTGAATGAGAATGCTCCAGTTAAAACTGTGCAAAGCCAGAAAATAGACTTTTCCACTACAGTATTTTCACTTAGTACTATTAACAGTTAATTTATCCGTTTTTAAAATCAGTTTCATAAACAATTATAATTTTGCATAATATTGAATTGTATGGATGTATTATAATTTGACCATCTCCTTATTGTTGGGTGTTTTGTATCACCTGCTTTTCGCTTTTATAAATAACAATGCAATGAATGTTTTTATACATTTTTTAACACAATGTGTTTTCACAATATAATCTGTATTTCAAAATATAATCTAAATATCCTCTTGGTGGTAGATTCTTAGAGGTGGGATTATTAAGTTTGTCTTAACAGGTTTTTACAGGTCTTAAAAAACATTCCCAAATTGCTTTTTCAAAAAAGACTTTTTTTTTTAAAAAAGAATAGTTTTATGTTCACAGCAAAATTGAGCAGAAAGTATTGAGAGTTCCCATCTACCCCTTATACCCGAACATGCACAGTCCTCCCCACTATCAAAATCATCCACCAGATTGTTACATTTGTTACAGCTGATGAATCTGCACTGACACAGAATTATCACCCAAAGTCAGTTTATATTACAGTTCCCTCTTATAATATATTCTATGGGTTTTGACGAATGTGTAATTACTTGAATCTACCATTGTAGTGTCAGAAAAGTACAGAAAAGTTTCACTGCCCTACAAATCTTCTGTGCTTTGCCTCTTTATCCCTCCCTTCTAACCTCTGGTACCACTCACCATTATTTTTTTAAAGATTTATTTATTTATTTATTCATTTGAGACAGAGTGTGCAGGAATAGGGGAGAGAGGCAGAAGGAGAGGGAGAGAAATCCTCAAGCAGACTCCCTGCTGAGCGCTCCATCCTAGGACCCCAAGATCATGACCTGAGTCTCTGATACCACTTACCTTTTTATTGTCTACATAGTTTTGCCTTTTCCAAAATGTCATAGAGTTTGAATTTCATAGTATGTAGGCTTTTCAGATTGGCATATTTCCCTTTAGTAATATGCATTTAAGAATCTTAAATTCTGGGTCTTTCATGCCTTGATAGATCATTTCTTTTTAGTGCTGAATAATATTCCATTGTCTTGATGTGCAACAGTTGGTTTATCCATTCATTTACTGAAGGACATCTTGTTACTTCCAAGTCTTGTCATTTATGAATAAGGGTACTAAAAACATTTGTGTGCAGATTTTTGTGTAGACATGTTTTCAGTCCCTTAAGGTAAATACCAAGGAACGTGACTGTTGGATTGCATGGTAGGTGCATATCTAGTTTTGTAAGAAATACCGGTTTTTCCAAAGTGGCTGTAGCATTTTGTATTCCCACTAGCAATGAATGAGAGTTCCTGTTGCTCCACATTTGGCATCATCACTATTTTGAGTCTTAGCCATTCTGGTGGGTGTCCAGTGGTATCTCATTAAGTTAATTTGTAATTCCATGATAATGTATGATGTTTAACATGTTTTCATATGCTAATTTGCCAACTGTATGTCTTCTTTAATGAGGTGTCTATTCAAGTCATTTGCCCATTTTTAAATCGGGTTGTTAGTTTTCTTTTTGTTGAATTTTAAGTGCTCTTTGTATATTTTGGGTAACAATCCATTTTCAGATATCTCTTTTGCAAATATTTTCTTCCAGTCTTTGGCTTAATTTTTCAAGCAATTTATTCTATTATTATTTGGTTTAAATATCAGGAACAAGTTGAGCAAAAAATAATTATTTATTATTAAGAGACATGGGGTTTCTTGGAACTTGCAAAAAAAGGAAGTCAGGCCACTGGGAGATGCTAAATAGAAAATGGGAAGCCATTTGCCAAATCTCTCTGACTTGTCTATCTCCTTTTCCTTACTCCCTGCCTGATTCTCCATCTATCTCTAGATCATGTCTTAAAGCTTTTAGCCAGGCAAAAGCTTTTCAGTCTACATTTATCAGAGAAACATCCTGATTGGCCATGGCTAAGTACATGTTCTAGAAGTACAACATTGTTCCTGGTGCCCAAACTTATGAATGGATTGGTTTGCATTGGAAGCAGTCAGGCATTTGCAGACGATGATGGATAGAATGTTATCTGGGAAGATGTTCTTAAAATGTGAGTGATGCTATTCTACAATTTTACAAAAGCACCAGTAGAGTGAAATTGACAATTTTCTTGCATTCTCCATGTCAGTAATAAAAGACTAAATACTTAGGCTTAAATACTAAATATTAGTCTGTTAAGACAATGGCATCTTACTAATTAATTTACATTTTTATTGCTAATATGCTATTTTTCATATCTGTATTAGCTATTTGTATTTATTGTTTTGTTAATTAGCAATATATTTCACCCCATTATTTAATATCTTTTTGTTTTATTATCAACTAGTGTGTTTTAAAATATATGAAGAATGTTAATTTTTAGTGTTTTTATTTTGATTGAAATTTTCCTAATTTCTTGTTTGTCTTTTAAATTTATATTGGACACTGACATACATAATAGGTTAGGTATGAACTAAATACATTGATCTTTTCTTTTTACATTTCTTAATAATTTCAACTTTTTACATTTTCTCTTGCCCAGTAATTTTTGTTTTTGTTTTTTAAATTTATTTTTAAGATTTAAAAAAAATTATTTGAGAGAAAGAGAGAGAGAACATGATTTGGGGGTAGGATCAGAGGAAGTAGCAGACTACCTGCTGAGCAGGGAGCCAGACACAGGGCTCCATCCCAGGACTCTGGTTTCATGAGCTGAGTCAAATGCAGATGCTTAATGACTGAGCCACCCAGGCACCACTTATCCAGATATTTGTTTGTTTTGTATTTTGTTATTTTGGAGCCTTAAAAATTCCTTTTGACATTTTAAGTTGCCATATTCATGATGTTTCTAGAGTTTCTTTATAATTGTTTAGATACTAATGAATACTGTAGCATAATTTGAAAACTATCATATAAATAAAAAGTCTAATCAGGTTAAAGTAATAAAGGAAAATACAGCTGAAATCTTGGCCAGGCCGATTTATTAGTTTTATTCATTCATCATACCTCCTCTTCAGTTGAGCCAAGAATTTTTTTTTAAAAATATACTGTTTGAGTTTTGGCAGAATGATCATATTTTGGGAAAAACATACAAATCTAGAAAACATGCTATTAAGAAATAATAGCTAATTTTTCTATGTTTTTGTTTGAGCTGAAAACTATAGAATAATGATACGACATATAGACAGATTCTGGAGCCAGACTGTCTGGCCTTGAACTCAAGATTTACACCTTAGCAGCTATGTGATGACTGATAGTTAGCTTCCTCTTTCAGTGTCTCAGTTTATCTTATCCATAAAATGGAGACAATTCTAATACTCATTTCACTGAGAAGAATGCCAGGTGTGTAATAAGCTCTCAATAAATATTAGTAATCATTAATAAGTGACTTTTTATAATAGTGTTTATGCTTATTAAGTCTGCATATGTTATGGGTATTTCACATAAACCTCACATGAATCCAGTAAGATAGGCACCATTGTACAGACTGAGAAACTGAGTCATAGAGAGCCTAAAGCTTTACTAAAAGTCATATAGTAAAGAGTGGAGCTGGTGTAGGAATTCAAGCCATCTGAAGCCTGAGCAAGCTACATAATACTGCCTTTTATTATATAAGGAAAATGTTGATATTGAGATGTTTCTAAGTCTGTTCCCTATCTCCATGTACCTCTATATGCAGACTTCTTGTTTGTCACATGGCTTCAGAGAGAAAACACAGGAAAAAGGATAACTCTTTAAAAGATATAGTGTTCTATCTTTTCAACATCCAGATTGCTGTATAAACCTATATGAGTATGCAGGTATATTACAAGAATAATATAGACATTGCCTCTTACGGGGCAAAGGACTAACACTGCTGAATAATTTAACCCTATCTAATAATGTGTTTAACCGATATTAATAATTCTTTCTTCAAATTACAATTCAAAGCACTTCAAACTGAATCAAATTTGTGGATACTTTAAGATTTCATCTATTTATTTGAGAGAGAGAGAGAAATCACAAGAAAGGGGCAGAAGGAGAAGTAGACTTCCCCCCTAATCAGGGAGCCCTACTCAGGACTTGATCCCAGGATCCTGAGATCATGACCTGAGCCATTATATATAAATATATATATATATATTTATATAAATATATCTATATCTATACTATATATAGTAAATACTGTATAGTTAACTATAACTGTATATAGTTATAGGTTATCTATAGGTATTTATATACAGATATATATGCTGAGAGGAGAGAGAAAAGGGAAAAAGGAATTGAGATGGGGAATCCCCATCAGGATATGAAAATGAATCTAAATTAATTTATTCAGATAGTCTTAGTGGCAATAAAATATAGAATTCCCACAACTCATAACTTTTGAAAAGATGATAAATTTTACTCAAAGAAGTGTTTTAAGGAAAAGATTATACAACCATATGGCTTGAAAAGGAACTCCGTCACACTGGAAGCAGACATTATTTAAAGTGCACATCAGTCACGCACGCCATGTTTGGCTCTTTATTGATTGTGAAAACAGTGATGACTGTGTGCATTATTCAGCTCATTCTTACTTAAATTCCTTCAGATCCAGAAATCAAGGTTCTTTATTGCCCAAGGAAGAGATAATGTCAATGGCTTGCAACCTTCCCGAAGATGAATGCTCTCTTAATGCTGTCTAAAGGGTAAACTCATTACTTACGGATAATAAATGTCAAGGTGAGACACTGACTTAAGAGTGATGCTCGCCCATAAGGGCCGTATCCCCGTGGTACTACAGTTCGTGAGTAGATTTATCATTGTCTCCCTCACTTAAAGAGAGTAAGTCTTGTCTAAACAATGGACTGCCGCACCTGAATTAATTTAGTTGGGAAACCTCTTTGCTCTGAGTTTCATTAGACGGCATTTTACACACGATGCACAGAGGTATATTTTGAAGTGTATAAATCTTTCACAAGAGATGTTTTCTATTGGTACCTGAATTAGAAGTGATATTTTTATTCCTTAAACTCATGATGGAAAGAAAATGATTAGCTCCTTAGTAGTCTGAGTTACACACGCATATCGTATGGTGTAACAAGAAATAAATACAGAACACAGCAAATTAATTGATATTGTGCTGAGGGAGTGTGTCTCCTTTTTTCATTTAGGCATCTCTGAAGATGAAAGAAGCAGAATGCTTTCCTTAGTTACTGCAATGAGGTTATTTAATTATAATCATCTGGCTATGGCTTAGTTCATGATACAAGATAATCTAATGTAGGGTTTGTAGAAGGGAGACAAGGTAAACAGGGGTGTGAAGTGGGAGAAAGAAAGGTGTTTCATTTCCTCTGGTGGAGATCAAAGGCTACATTTGATTATTTGGGATTGTCTCAGTGTTTTGCTGTTTTTTTTTTTTTTTTTTTGGTGGGGGTGCAGAATATGTCACCTAAAAAAATCTAGTCATTTCTGTGTAACTCCCAATGTTCTCATTAAAGTGAAGGCAAGCAAGACTTATTACAGATCACAGTGAAGAAAGAGAAGGCTTTCAGAAGACAGTCATACTATGTTCTGCTTTAACACTACTTACCCTAAAATGTTATCTATACCATTTGTATCTTCTTCCACTTATCCTTTGTTTACTTCTACTATCATGTTTAAAAGTATAATTCATGCTACTTTTATATTTCCTACTTATATTGTAAGACTGCCACTGGCAGATGAAATCTTTGTAAATTTCTGTGTGATCACCTGAGGAGTAGAGGATCTAATGACTTAAACTTTCATAAATCTATGACTCTGAATCATATATGGCTAAATGTTTCTCTATAATTCAAATGGGGAAAAATGAATGGCTTGATGGATGTGGGAGAATTAAGCGGCAGCATAACTAAATGCATTGAAAAATTCCAGTAATGAGGAGACATTATTTAAAAATAATACTGAGGGGACACCTGGGTGGCTCATTCAGTTAAACATCTGCCTCTGGCTCAGATCATGATCCTAGGTCCTGGGGTTAAGTCCCACTGAGTGTCAGACTCCTTGCTCCCTGGGGAGCCTGCTTCTCCCTCTGACTGGTCTCCCTGTGTTTGCTCTCTCATCCTCTCTGACAAATAAATAAATAAGTAAAGTCTTTCAAAAAAATAATAATGATGAAGACTGTTCTTGGCACACAGGCACACATACTGTTTAGTACTCAATTATTAGAAAACACTGTTTTTGATAATAAGACATTTCTTTTTAATATGAATTCAGATTCCATTAGTGTTTACTGAGCATCTACCCTGTGACCCATTTGTCCTGAGTGCTTTGAAATATGTTATTCCAACATGTTATTTAAATTAGTGTAATTCTAATGATCTCTGAGTGATTTTAGACTAATCTCTGTCCTATATTTTCCTGACATTGTTAGATATGTGGTTCATCAAGTATAAATTTGTTATTTATATATCTTTACTTGAAATGCTTCTTTTATATTTCTTGTAGTGTGACTCTCACAGAAATCTCCAAATATTTGCACTTTACCTTGAAACTAGTAATCTCTCCAAGTCCTTGAATTCTTTCACTGTAGTAACTGAACAAGACTAGAGGAAAATTCAAGTTTAGATCTGTAATAAGCAAGTAGAATGTGTCTCTGCAGGAAAAAATGGAGAGAACAGATTAAGACAATATGAAAAGAACGCTTCCTCATACCCTGAATAATAGCAATTAAGTACATTGTGTGTGTGTGTGTGTGTGTGTGTGTGTGTGTGTATACATATATATATTTGTGATTAATTACCTGTCTAGGTCTTAGGTCTCTGAATAAAAACAAACATAATTACATTACTCTTGACTGAACCTAGAAGTTCAAGAAAAAAAATGAAGGTTTCAATAAAGGGTAAATAAAATTAGAATTTCTTTCACTGAGACACCTGCCTTGCACTAGATTGATTTTGCAAATGAAAACCCTCTGTTGTACACTGAAGAAAGAACTATCTCTGAGGATAAAGCTATTCTTCCCACGGTTCTCAGAGAACCGTGTAACAAAGTATTTCAACAAAAAAAGTGTTTCAAAAAAAGTGTTCAAAAAGTGTTAAAAAAAAGTGTTTCAAAGTGTGTAAACAAAGTGTTTCAAAAAAAGTTTTTAAAATTAGATAAGCTAACTTCTGAATCATAAAGGTGACAATCTGAGTAAAACAATGAGCTGAATGGCGAATGTTTATGACAAAATTGAACACATAAAATAAAGAAAACCAGTAGGTGTCATAAAACCAATGGCATTGATATTAAGATACCATGAATAAATAAAAATTAAAAAGTGAGTTTTAATCAAGTCATCTAATGGAATATAAAGTTGAATCTGACAGAATCACCTACTTACTTCACACTATAAAATAAGATCACTTAAAAGTATATTGTATATTAAATTGAATATAATTATATTTCTAATGAAAAATTGAATCAGTGATTCAGAAGTCATAAATGATAAATAATTAAATATTGATATTTATAAAATATTAAAAAACACATGACAATTACTTTTCCAAGTACATTTCCCTTTAATAAATGCATGCACTGATTAGTTGATGCACAGCGAAATGAACATGTTTCTTACTTGTCTTAATTCTACTCTCTATATTTTCCAAGGGATCAAATAGATTGGAATGCATGTGGGGAAAAGAGAAGAGGATAAGTTAGAGGGAGTGGGGGAAGGGAGGTTGAGGGATTGAAGAGGATTAATTTTACATCATGTGTTTAAAGACCATTGAGAATCCCATTTAACGGTAGGTAGGAACAGGTGCATGGAAGATACAAAGCAGAGAATGCTGGTCATGTTTCACATGTGATGGATACAAAAGCAAACTATACCATCATACGATTCAGTTCATTATGATGGAGATGGTAAGCACGATGTAAAATATGACAAAGAATTTTGTCTTCTTAAATTATTATTCTTAGTATTTCCTCTGCTTGTACTTGTTACCCATAACCCAGAGAGAAAATGTAGGGAAATAGGGATGAAAATAGGAGAAGAACAAGTTCCTAGAATTAGTCAATTACGCAAGTTTGTAAAGCTAACCTCAGAATTCCAGTTTACAAATGATTAGTAATGAGAACAAAAGTTCTTCGGAGTTCATGGGGGCTTTGTAATATTTTAATTGCTTTTTTTATATTGAAGAGCAAAGTACAAATCATAATGGTATTGAGAAATAATGACCTAATGAAGCTTAACATATAAGCACCCAGAAAAGCCATTTCATTTTTATTCATACCTGAACTTTGGACACATACTTCTGTTTAATGAATATTGGTGTGTTAGTCAGAAAAACATCATCTGTTCAAACTCAGTTGGTAGTTTAAGGTTTCATTTTTCTATCAAACATCTTGCAAGCCAAGTGATTTCATCAGCATATTTAAATCAATGCTGAGCTCCGTAAAAGGTCACTTGTAACACTTTGAAACATAAGACAGAGAAGACAAGACTTGAACCTAAAAACATTACAGTGGAATTGTTTTCTAACAAAATCATTTTTAATATTTCATATTTACAATTTGTCAAATTCTACTAATAAGTTTAAAATCACTTGTACAAATCTCGATTTGAGAATTCCATTTTTGGTGAAAACGTTTTTAAGAATCAGTAGGAAAAGACAGTATTATTTAATAAGTGGTCCCATGACTCTTGGCTTACTTTTGAAAAACATCAGAATAGGAGCTTTGTTTCAGAGGATATATCAAACAAGTACATGTGGATTAAGGCATCTGTTATTAAAAAATTGCAGTCTTACAGGTAGAAGTTATAGGTAATTAAGTCATGACATAAACGGATATTTTTAAAAAAATTATTTATTTATTTGACAGAGAGAGAGAGAGACAGTTGGAGAGGGAAAACAAGCTGGGCGAGTGGGAGAGGGAGATGCAGGCTTCCCGCAGAGCAGGGAGCTGGATCCCAGGACCAGGGGATCATGACCCGAGCTGAAGGCAGACGCTTAACGACTGAGCCACCCAGGCGCCCCTGTAAACTGAGTTTTAAAGAAAAATAAAAGGATTGGGAAACACATGCAGATTCAGCTATAGATACATATTTAAAAAGACCTTTATATCAAAATCACCAAAAACATATTAATTTTAATACTTTGAATTCTGGAAAAACGGCAGTCATATAACCTTGAAAACTTTCTGTTACAAATAGAAATGCTGCATAAAATAAAGGTTTCTTTATATGTGTAGCTGAGCTACAGATGAAAGGAAGGAAGGAAGGAACAAGAAAGAAAAGAAGCAAGGAAGGAAGGAAGGTAAACACTCTATATAATAGAAACCAATAATGGTGAATCTATACCACACCTGGGTTGCTGGTATAGTCACTTCAAGGCTTCGTTGTTATGTTTCTGCCATATTTGAGACACAGGTATCTTTGGCTCAGAGCTCTGGGTAAGGATTGAAACTCCTCAGGCACCGGTGTCCATCCTGAAGTCCTTGGGTCCTGCCAGGGAGTCATTGCAAGTCCTCTTTTCTTCCAGTACCAACACCACCTTGTCCTCTCAGCCTGGAGAGTTTGAAGGCTCACCATCTGGACTTTTGGAAACATAATCCAGAAAACATCTTGCCTCAAGCTTTATTAAATCACTTGAAGAGATGGAAAGAAAAGATGAAGAAAGAGAAGAGAAAATGTAAATAAACATTTCCATAAATTATCTTACCCTAAATTCTAAGATTGTTTAAAGAAGATTGCAAATGGAAAATATTTTTCAAGTTGAAGTCATTGTGAAAATTATTTATGGAGAGCTTGAGGCTGGAATTCAGCTATGAAGAATGAGTAGTACTTGAACAGAAGGAAAGACATTCTAGGCTGACAGAAATAGAAGACATAATTAGAAAAGCTGCAGAGGGGGGCTGGAAGAAACATAGTAAGCAACTGGCCTGCTTTCTTGCTTGTCTCCAAGGCCACCATGACAATATCCTAATTATACTACCATTTTCAAATACCGACTTGAAACAAAAAACTTAAATCTCACTTTATCCAAATAAATAATCTTGGATATGGAGGAGGGCTGGAACTTGTTGAATAAGTAATTGTTTAAAAAATTGGATAAGAGGGGAACCTGGGTGGCTCAGTGGGTTAAAGCCTCTGCCTTCGGCTCAGGTCATGATCCCAGGGTCCTGGGATCGAGCCCCGCATGGGTCTCTCTGCTCAGCAGGGAGTCTGCTTCCCCCTCTCTCTCTGCCTGCCTCTCTGCCTACTTCTGACCTCTCTCTCTCTGTCAAATAAATTAAAAAAATCTTTAAAAAAATTGGATAAGAATATAACTATCATACAATCCTCTCAACATCTCTTCATATGTACCTCTCTCCAGAATAATGATTTTTACTACATTTTTAAAATTACATATTTGAGATGAGTAAGCCTCATGTCTGTGTCCACCTACTCCCAGGCCTCACCACCATTTTTGGAGGAGCTCGATCCTGGAGGGGGTGCATCTGTTGATTTTAAATGGTCACTTGCAATGCTGTGTTATCCCACTTAGTGAAAGCAGAGCTTGGAGAAAGAGCAATTCTTCAATTAACATTGAGCATTAAATTCTAAAAGATTGTACTTGAAATGAATGATTTCATGGGAAGTATAAAAGGATCAAACTTAACCCTGTTGGCTAAATGGAAATCAGTCTTCTTAGGAAGATGTGGAATACATTATGATACCTTGTGAAAGTGTGAATGAAAGAGACAAATCAATTAAAAACCAGAAGTAACCAAATTAGGTGTAACCAAAAAGAGGCAGATCTTTGTAAATTGATGCTGCATGTTTTCTTTTCCAGTGAACTTATGACCTATAGCTTTATTCAATTTACAATCTACTTTTGGCAATTGATATCAGTCTTCATGTACAGATGAGGAAATCAAGGTTCAAAAAGTTATTTTAGTCAAGTGGCAAAATGGAATGAGTCAATGATGGAAAAACACAGAAATGTCACTTCTGACACTGAGTCATTAACACAACTAGTCTTATATGAAGGCTAATTCATAGCAGCTCACACGATATTACTGATCATGACTTTCTTACTCCCTAGGTGTCTCTGCTCACAAGACTTTGATGATTATCACCGGTTATCCCTTTGTTAAAATAGTCTCCTTCTCTTATGATTAGGGTGACCACATAATTTATCATCCAAATATGGATAGCTTTTAGAAAAAAAAGTAGTGCTATTAAAAATTGTACTGTGTAACAGGTGTGAACTGGGTAAACTGGGATACAGGGTCTGGCATGGTTGAAGAAGCAGTTATGACCCATTATAACCATTACTTGCAAGATTTATGTAGCATGACACAGAAACCCAAATGGACATGGAAGAGGTATATTCCGACAAGGAATTTAAAAATGGATGGTGGGGAATATTTAATTTGGGCATCCTGGTGAGATAGCTTATAACTGCTAGGCTAAGAATACATACAAAGTATGGTGGAGGGCAGTGACATTCACCTTCCAAAGATTAATGGGAATTAAAATAAAAACTACCTATCCACTATCCAGATTGCCTACAGTGACTTAGGAAGTGACTATTTTAAAAAATATTTTTAGAAATATTGATCAAAAAGAGCACAGAGTTTCTTCCTTTTATTAACTAGATTGTAAGAGCTATGTAAAATTTTATGGAATTTAATATTTGAGCAAAATATTTAAAATTTAAAACCTACAGTGTTTAATTGACTTTTCAATTGGATGGGCCTCAAAAGCATTATGTTAAGTAGAATAAGACAAAGATGAATATTGTATGATCTCACTTACATGTGGAATTAAAAAAAGAAAAAAATAGTTTCATAGATACAGAGATTAATGGTTGTGACAGGGTGGGGGTGGACGGTGGGTGAAATGGGTGAAGTGGGTCAAAAGATACACACTTCAGTTGCAAAATAAATAAACCATAGGGGAAAAAATGGGGCACCTGGGTGGCTCAGTGGGTTAAAGCCTCTGCCTTCTTCTCAGGTCATGATCTTTGATCCTGGGATTGGGTCCCGCATTGGGCTCTCTGCTCAGCAGGGAGCCTGCTTCCTCTCTCTCTGCCTGCCTCTCTGCCTACTTGTGATCTTTCTGTCAAATAAATAAATAAAATCTTTACAAAAAAAAAACAACAACAAAATAAACCATGGGCAAGTAATGTAAAGCATGGTGACTATAGTTAATAATTCAGCATTAGATATATGAAAGTTACTAAGAGAGTAAATCTTAAAGTTTCCCATCACAAAGAAAAAAAAAGACATCCTAACTATTATGGGCAGGGATGTTAAACAGACTTATCAAGGTGATCTTTTGCAGTATATTTAAATAGCAGATCACTATGTTGTACACCACCTGAAACTAATATATGTCAATTATACCTCAATTACTAAAAACAAAAAACTAAAATACAAAAATAACCACTACTAGGACATATGTGTTTAATTAGCCAAATAAATAAAATTTGGTTAATAATTTCTATCAATATATGTTTACATCATCTTTATTTAATAACATGGGTAGGTATTTCTCCATGTCTTTAAAAAGTCTAATAAAGACATTTTAACTGTCTGTATAGTATTTCATCATATATATTATATTTGGTAATGTTAACTTGTTACTGAATATTTAGGACAATTTCAATACTTGACTAATTACACATATGCACTCATGAAAATTTTTATTTATAAATATTTATTAATGTCTATGGTTACTTCCTTAGACTAGACTGCTAAAAATGAATTGTTATGAAAATGCAAATGGATTGTTGAAAATTGAGGAACATTTTAGGAGTTGCGATACATACTACCAAATTACATTCTCTAAGGACCTTTAAATTTATACTTTTACTTGCTATTCAGAAGCGTGAAGTTCTCAACATACCCTTGAGGAATTGAATAATATATTCATAGAAAGAATATGGTATCTGATTATTGCATTTTAATTCATCTTTTTCATTCCTAAGGAGGATGTTTACTGCTGGTTTATAGTATTTATCTATTGACCATTCTTTTTTTCTTTTTGCCTTTCAACTATGTAATTCTTTTGTTTGATCTGTCTTAATTTTTGATCTGAGATTAATATGGAAGAGTATCAAATGTACTGTCAATATTATTATATATGCAATTTCAGCAGTCCTCCCTTTCTGTGGATATAAATATAATCAACTAATTTTGAAGTCTGTCATACAGGAAGGAACTATGAAAAATGAGTAACATGAGTAACAATCATGCTAGCATTGCTAAAGAAAATTAAAGCCCGAAAGGACTTTTGAAGTTATTGAGACCTCCAAGAATTCAGCAAATTACTTAGATGATAGATTCTTAGTTCTGGAACGCTTTTCAGAAGCAGGCTTCCGACCTAGTCCCACAGTTCTTTTTATGAAAACTAGCATGTCATTACCACCTGAGCACTTGGCCGCACCAGAGGAGTTACAGAAGAAAGAAGAGAAAGAAGGAAGTAGAGTTGAGTGGGTGGGGTTGTGGTGGGAGTGGAGGAAGAGTTAGTAGTTTACTGTCTGTTCCTTGCAGTCTTGAGATAGTATCAGAGATATTCTCTGAGGAGGCATGCACACATTCAGAGTCTAGTTGAACTGAGCCACCATGATAACTTGAGCAGGGGTAAGGAATTCCATCTGTGGGGTGTAGGAATGAGAAGCTCTTATTTAGAAAGTGAAACAAATGTATATTTCTCAAGTGTTTGTTTAGTCTAACTAAATATTCCCTCATCTCTATTTTCTCAATAAGAAAAAATAGAAGAAAAAGAACAGGGTATGAGTATCATAATTCATAAGTCAACCAATTCATTTCCTTCATTTGAATAATTACTCTTTGAAAGCTTCTATTTTTTGGGCTTGATAAAAACATAGTCTTTTTTCTTTCCATTGTGGTGTCTTTTGCATTAGTCATTCCATTTTTTAGAGCATTCATTCCTGTTTTTTTTCCCCTCAAATCATTTTGTACAACAAAAGACAAAAAACAATTCATTCTTTAATGGGAGTTATTTCATTTTAACAGAACTTTAAGTGTAGCAGCTTTTCAAAAATAGCACCACCCCCAGGACTATAATATTTTGTCTTTTCTTTCAAAGGTTTGGGGAAAGTAGTACAGAAAAAAAATGGCAATAAGGAGAAATCAATTCCACTAGCTACTGTGATGTTTACTTTTTTATGTTAACTTGGCTAGGTTATAGTGATGATTTAATCAAATACTGACCTAGGTCTCTATGAAGGTATTTTGTAGCTGTGGTTAACATCTACAGTTGACCTTAAGAAAAGGAGATGATCCTCAATAACGTTATTGGCCTAACACAATTAATTGAAGTCTTTAAGGGCAAAAACTGAGATTTCATAGACAAAAAGAAATTCCGTCTCAAGTCTGCAACATCAACTCCTGCCTGAGTTTCCAATAGGCTGGCTGCCCTACAGATTTCAGACTTGCTAGACCCCACAGGCACCTGAGCCAATTCCTTTAAATTCATGCACGTGTGCAGGCACGTTCACACACGTGTGTGCACATATACCCACTCTATTATTCTATGCATCTCTTTCTCTAGAAAAACTTAACCGATACAGCTATTAACCATCATTAGTGTTCAAGATTATTGGCTAACTGAATAATCTTTACCATTTTTAAAAACAATACCTGGCTACATGTAGTATCTCTAACCAGAACTGGAAGAGAGAAAATGCACAGAAAAAGACACAATATGAAAAAACACGGTAGTCCATGAGATTGTGCCAGAATGTTTTGGATTTCAGGATTTAAAAGAGCTTAAAGTATATTTTAAAGTAAAATCATAACTAAAATTAGTTAGGTATAAATATAAAACTGAATGTACTAGCAGCATACACTAAACAAATTGCAAATTGTATTGTATTAGAG